CTGAAAGATTAACAAATGACCAAAAAAAAAAAAAACCCACCCAAACCAAAACTGAGTATTAAACGAGTTTCTTAATGTAGTGGAAATAGGCATGATAAGAACCAGAGGCTGGCAAAAGGAAAGCAGCTGAATTAAATGAAGTTGCACACTTTCAGCCAAGAAGATGATTAATCATTGGAATGAGTTCTCAAAATAAGGTATTTTCCCAGGCACTGTCTAGTCAAATGTGATTAACTGGGTTTTGTGAAGAAGTAACAGGGTAAAATGTTTGTGACACGTAGGAGGTGAGCCTAGCTGATGTAATTCTCCTTTACAGCCTTAGCTCGGTAACCCTGTGAAAACCTTATAAAGGTTGCATAATGGATTTCAGCTTGCTGAAACCGTAGAAGGGTCATCATCTTGACTTGAATGAGGAAATATCCAGCTTGGCTTTTGGATTTCACTGGGAATAAATAATTAGTATTTACTTAGTTCATTCTATTAATAAATTTTCACGCTTGCAGGAAGGCACATCTAATCTAAAGCCAGATAAACAAGCATAGAGGTGAGGCATGGCCAAGTGAATCAGCAGCAGACCTGGAAAAAGACCCAGTGTCTCCTGGATCCCCGGCTGAGACAGACTTGTTTTCTTGGGAGGACTCAGCTGTCTGAAATCCAGCATGTTCTCCAGTCCGTATCATTTCTTAAGTCTGGAAGGCCAGACAGGACAACATGAATTAAGCCTAGAATATCACAAAATGGTGTTCTGATTAAAAGCATAAGGTATATGAAGGTATATGAAGAAATTAATTTTATTTTTAATTTTATTTTTATTTTTTATTTATTTATTTTATTTTTATTTATGTATATTTTTTATATATATATAAAATTAGGCTTACATTTACCATGTGATTTCTATGTAAATATAAGGCAACACTTCTGTAAGGCAGGTGTTTCCCTTCATTTAGGAAGTGCTGTGCTCAGCACTGGCAACACTGACTTACCTAAACTCACGTAACGGTTTCTATTACTGGGAACTGATTGACATTTTGACAGCACTCCTATTTGTTGATGTTTGAGTACTTAGAGGTCAGAACAGCGAACACGTTGGTCTTCTGTTTCCCGTGCTGTCAATTCCAAATGTCTACATTCACTTGAAATTATTCACTTAAATATAAAAGGTTAGTACTTACCCGTTGAATTTTGGATTGAGACTTAAATGAAGAAAATCCCTTGGTGACAGCTAAGGTAGCTACTTCTACTGTATTTATGTGATCTTGCAACTACAATTCTTTTGTACATAAGAAGCCTGAGTAATGGGGCTTTCTGAGGCTTCAGGTTTTGATTTTACGTTTTTGTCATATATGCCATTTGTACATAGTACCAGGAAGATAAGCGTACAGATGCTGAGCAGGCTTCCTTGGCACATGGACAAATTAGGTCAGCCTGCCAAGAAATTTAAATTGCTGATTTTAAACAATAGTGATTAAGATGTATGGAATGTTGAAAATTTGTGTTTAAAGTTCTTTGTATGAGGTTTTAAAAATTTTATAATTTTTTTTAATGATTTATTTGGATGCCTCCTTTATTAGCTAATGCTTGAACAAGTGGCTGCAGGGTCTGAGTGGAGTCAGCCCCAGTCTTTTCCTACGTCCTTGGTCCTGCCTGAGACTCCACAGTGACTGCGAGATCATTTGCTACGAGTTGAACTGAGCCTGTTGATTTATTTCACATAATACTGCATGGCCATCTTCCCATGTCCAGCACCGTGGCAGTAGAGGGTAGCTGAGATTAATCTGTGAGCTACAGCACTTGCATGGGAAATTGAGCCCCTGAAAGTGCTGTCTATTTTGGCCATGTATGCTGAGATGCCTTATGGACGCCTTTTTGCTATTTCTGGAAGAATTGTTTAGAAATGGGTAAAAGATGTTGCAGATAGAGGTGTTTGAGATAAGGGGTGAGATTTTTTTCAAAAGTGACTTGTAATTTGGGTGCCCGCACTGTGAAGCGTATTACCAGTCAGACGGGGAGCGGTGGTGCTGCTTGTTATGGCACCCTGGCAAGGGCTCATTGCGTTTTATAAAGCAGATCCTTCGGTGGTGCAGAAAGTAAGGCATCCATCCAAAACTACTGGCTGCTGTAGCAAACGCTGGCTGCTTGGTGTAACCACTGCCCTAGCGCTGGGGAGGGCTGGTTCATTCCCCTGACACTCACCAAGGACGCTTGCCTGGGCATAAGCAGGAGCTGCAAAACATGTCCAGCAGATGCCAGCGTCGTGGAGAGCATTTGGAAGTCCATTTTCTCTCTTTCTGTTGTGGTTTAATCTGGCAGGCAGCTAAACACCACACAAGCCGTTCACTCACTCCCCCACCCACAGGGGATGGGGGAGAGAATCAGGAAAAAAAAAAGCAAAATTAATGGGTTGAGATAAGGACAGTTTAATAGGACAGAAAAGGAAGGGAAAATAATCATGATGATAAAAGAATATACAAAGTAAGTGATGCACAATGCAATTGCTCGCCACCCGAGCAGTGGTCGCTGCCCCCCAGCCAACTCCCCGCAGTTTATGTACTGAGCATGACGTCACATGGTATGGAATGTCCCTTTGGCCAGTTTGGGTCAGCTGTCCTGGCTGTGCCCCCTCCCAGCCTCTTGTGCACCTCCAGCCTTCTCAGTCGGTAGAGCATGGGAAGCTGAAAAGTCCTTGGCTAGTGTAAGCACTACCTAGCAACAACTAAAACATCGGTGTGTTATCAACTTTGTTCTCCTCCTAAATCCAAAACACAGCACTGCACCAGCTACTAGGAAGGAAATTAACTCTATCCCTGCCGAAACCAGGACACTTTCTGAGGTCAGATGGGTGCTGCCTCTTTCACTTCTGGCTGCTGACAGCTCCTTTCTCTCTGGGAGGAGGTTGCCCCTGTCCTGCCCGGTTTGACCTGTTGAACAGAGATCTATACTCTGTGCAGTTTTTTGCCTGGCAAAAAATTTAATTCCTTAAATTCCCTAAATTAACTTCCTTTGGAATACAGTGTGGCTTAAGCACTTGGCTTGGGGAACAGCCATGGCGGTGATCCACTGTGCCCTAACCCACAGGTTGCACTGCTCAGGAATCTTACCTTAAATTAGTGCATAGGGGAAAAGTGATTAAAGAAAAGCCCTTTTTCTGTCGTTATCTGTGACAATGTTGGGGGGGCATTCCATGAAAAAGTTGTTGTGCAATGGCTTTGTGATTGCTGGGGAGAAGTAGTTCAGTGTGTGAATTAATTTCAGTAGCAGAAAAAAAATCAGTGGCTGACTTCTGCAAAGGGCGGTTTAAACTTTATTGTTAAGAGATGATTAAACTCTGCCTGGATTAAAATAAAGGCTCCACGGATATGGAGGCAGAAGAGACTGAGGTGGTGTCTGCTGAGCACTTGGTTTCGCTTACCCTGGCGTGCGTTAGAGCTGGAGTTTTACCCTGCAATTACTCAGTCTTGCCTTCACCCGGTCCTCTCGCTGCATCTTTCCTTCAGAGACAGGATGGCTTTTGTTTCACAGGGTATTTCTGGAATCTTGCAAATGTGATGTTTCTGTGCTTTTAGGCACGAAAGTGCAAATATCACCTTCGTTTATATGGAGATGAATTTAAATTAGATTATTTCCCTCAGCTGCTAACGTCTTAGTGTTTTACAGTAACTCTCATTAGTTTGTGTGATTATATTGCCAGTAGAAAAATTCATGGTTAAGAGCTTTAGAAAAAATAAAAACAAAACAAGGGAATGATGATGTATGAGTCTATAGGCGTTTTTAAAAGGTATTTATAAGAAAAAAAAAAAATGATAGAAAACAGTGCACTCAGCTTTCCTGTTATCTGATGATGGTGTCAACCCTGAAATATTGTACTGTTTCACTGTTCTTCGCTATATTTCGGTCTTGTAGCTTTGTGCTTCCCAGAGGAGTTGAAATAAATACAGCTACTATAGGGCTTAATCTTACTTTGTTCGATTTCATTTACATATCCTGATGTTTATGACAATCTGTTTTCTAACAAATCAGCTCTACCCTACTTTCTCGGCCCCAACCAAAGCAAAAAAAGGTTCATGAATTGCCCTGCTTGCAGCGATGTCAACTGGTCACAATATTCCAGATATTTCTTAAACATCTGTTAAAGTCTGTTACTGTGTTAACAAAAAAAGATACTTGACAAACAAAGAGAAAACAAATGCTTTTCCAGGTATTCTGTCAAGGTAGTGCATAGCTTTGACGTGTTAAGTGTGTGACTTGTCACCCTATTTTGTATTACACACCAGTTCAGAGATTAAGCTGTGCTGCAGATTTTTTTGTAAAGTGTCAAACTGCTGTTTAACTCGGTGTACTACATCAAGTCAAGCTTTATATTTATCTCAGTTGCTTCAATATGTTAGCATTGGTAGAGTTGTTTCTGCTTTCTGGGATTATTTGGGATTTTTCATTTGCTTGTTTTTAGTACACTGAAAATCTCACGTGTAGTTAGGTCCAGTCAGTACTGTCAGTGTGAAACATTTAGAAGAGGGGTTACCAAAATGTCCCCTGTGAGGCATTAATTAGTGAACTTCATCTTCCCAGAGTCTCCCACCACACCTGGGAACAAGCAACAGCTACCAGCTAGACGATGTTGAGCATTAGTCTGGTTACATGTTTGGTTCCAAGGGACTGTGTTAAGAGAAGTATATACATGAGTGGATGGCAAATTTTACTATTTCATTTTTGCTAAAAGACACCCATCATAAGGAATAAATGAAACTGCTGTCCAAAACTAATAAGATTCCCCTGCATAGACCTGCCTTTCTCACCTATTCTCCTTCACATCCCCTGTCCCCCCAGCTTCACTTCCATGCAAAACCTTCCACGAGGGCTGACCTTCCACAGTCAGCAAAATCCGAACCTGACAGGAAAATACAGCAGGAAGCTACACAACATGTAGCTTCTGGTGTCAGTTTTATGTATGCATATAGGTACCGTTAGATAATATTTTTCAAGGAGATGTGATATTTTCTTAGCAGGTTGAAGTTGAAGTTTACCGGAGAGATTCTAAGAAGCTTCCTGGCCTGGGAGACCCTGACATTGACTGGGAAGAGAGCGTCTACTTAAACCTCATTCTACAGAAGGTAACAGTGATGCTTATCTAACTTTCATGGGCTATTTATGCTAGAGAGGTTTCAGGGTAGGCTTTGATCTGTCCCCTTTCCTCCCTAGCTTGGGGGATTTGAACGCTTCTGGAGGATATGAAGAAAACGTGGCTTTAATTTTGCCTTTCAGAGTCTAAATGAACATAAACTGAGATGTTTATTTTTCAGTAGAGTCCTAATAGCTTTCCTCAAAAAACTTCAAATATATCCAGTGAAGCTGGTCTGAATTTTATGCTCTGTAACAAAGTTTTGCAAAATGGAAGGCTTTGTTGAGTTTAATAGTTTTTGAGAGTGAACAAGACTGTTAGACAACATTTCTGTTAGAGTTCACAATACTGGTGCAGCTAAGAGAGGGAACTGCTAAGTGGAAATGCAGTAAAAGTGTTATGTATTGCACTGGGAGTTTGCTGCTCTTGACATGAGAACTTTAATAAAACTTTTTTGTTGGTGGTGGTGGAAACACAAAGCTAACACAAATTATTTGTTTAATTAACTCATAGGTTGTTTAGTTATTGCGTAACTTATACGGGCGCTTAGGGAAGCTGAACGTTACTATAGTCATTTGAAATCCCTTAAAAGTTTTGTTGATTATGATCTCAGAATGAGAGACTGCTGGCTCATTGCACACATCCTGGAAAATAAATTGTTTTCATTCTCTCTCCTTCCTCCCAAAAGTCTCACTGCAGAACTTCTCTGCAGAGAGCAGTTTCCACCTTTATTTGATGCTGAATAAAACCAGAGTCCGTTTGCTACAGTCAGAATTCAGAGACGCTGTTACCACTGAACATTGCTGTCCAGAGCTATCACGCTTGCTCCTTACAAGTTTTTTCAGGTTGTTTGGCAGGCTACGTTAATGGCTTCTGACCTTTCTAATGTGTTGCTTGTGTTTATTAGTGTTTCTATTTTTCTGTTTTTGAAGGCAGGCTATCTCTTCCATTTCTACCTTAAAGTGTGCTTATGTGTGTGTGTCATGCTTATTCCCCCAGCTGACCAGTAGGCTAGGGTTAAACAATATTGTCAGGAGTTTCTTTACCCATAGGTTGTGCATCTCAGCATCTGTGCAAAAGACTTTGGTATTACTGAGATAATAAACAAACACAGGCTTGAAAAATGTAGGTGTTTTAGCATAGTAAAGAGAATAAAGAAAACGGCAATACCAAAACATCTTACTTTTTAGCCAGAGCGCTAAAAAAATTAAGACAGGATGTGTTCTGCTTCATGGACATGAATGTTTTGTTTTTCTAACTCTAAACCTTTATTTCTCTATCTGGTGTCCTGTTTTAGCTGGATTATGTGGTGACATGTGCTGTGTGCACACGCTCCGATGGAGGAGATATTCACATTCACAAAAAGAAATCTCAGGTGAGATTACACGTTATTACTGTGGATAAGAGGTTGGCTTCCAGTATTAACTAATCCTAAAAACTGTATCAAAACCAGGGCAGTGGTTCTCAGGCTGTGGTCTGACAGATGCATCCCTGTGAAGCATCTCAAGTCTTCGTCTAGTGACGTTTCCTGCCAGTCATCTAAATGTGAGATCTAAATGTCCTTTATAGCCCCTCTCAAGAAATTGTAAAGACCTCTGCATGCTTTCAAGATTTATATCTTTGCCTACTGGATTGGGGCGGGGGAGGTATGCCCAACTGTTAACCAGTCTGAGAGTAAACCTGAAATTGTATGAGAACTGAGTTATGAGAAGCCTTCAGGGTAAATCTGTAATGTAGGGCTATTAAATGGTAGACAATTTACTGATTACCAATTTATCTTTTTATTGTTTTACGAGATTCTTTTTTTCTCTCTTAAACTGCTCATTCCTTCCATCTCCACACCAAAGGCTTTTGTCACTTGCTTGTGTGCAGCGCACAGTTAATCCAGGGTTTAGCATAGTGGAGGAGACTGAATAATAAGCATGGAGGGGATAGGAACAAGAAACCCCAGACTTCTTCACTCAATTTGCAGCAGATCTTGCAACAATTTCTCCTAGTTGGCAGAAATTCTTCTTTAAAAGGCTCCTATTGCCTTTAAAAGGCTGTTTCTCCCAGGCAATTCCATTTCTTTAGCTCAATCAGCTGCTTGCATGGCTTTACCTAAAATAAACCAATGCTTTTTAATCCTCTAATTTTGTTTTACTGTTTTAAAACAATTGTTGCTTTGCCTACAAACAAAACTAGCAATGCTGATTATTGTATTTGTAGTTTGCATTAGTTAGGTGCATAATTCCCGTCTGGTGCAGCTGAGGCACCACATTACACCACTGATGTAAGCCTTTTATTTCTCATTGCTTTTTCCACTGTTTGCTAGTCAAAGTTTCACCCCCAGTTAACTTCTGCAAAATTCTTTTGAGAAAAATCTGTAAATGTTACTTGAAGATTTGAAAACTAGGAAGATGAGGATGAGGGACCTGCCTTCACTGTGTGTGAGCAGTGTTTGGAATAAGGAGGAGGTTTTCTGTCCCTCATTCCTAGAGGCTTGTACTGTGGGACTGCTTATAAATTTTTCTTTGTCTCCCCTTTTCTAGGAGAAACTCAGCACACATTAAAACTTACCAGGACATACTAGTGACATTTTAACATCATGAAATTGATCTATGGAGAGAGAAAAGGCAATTCTATATGCTGTGGAAAGCATATTTGCAGTAGGGCATTTCATTGTAACATGCACCATTGAGGCTCTTAGGTTTCAGTGAACAGAAGCCAACTTTTTTGGATCTGTATTACTGCTCTGATGGTTCTTGCTTTAGAAAGCATATATTCTGCTGTCAGTGAGCAGCCAGATGTTGAATAGGTAGAAGCCCTGCTCAGGCATAGGACTTGCTGTACTACTCCAGACCTATGACAAAGCTATTGTGTTCATACCAGTAGAGTAGCTAAGGCATGAAACCAGTGTAAAGGCGGCTGACTTTCCCTTAAATTTTTTTGCAGACTACATTGATTCTCTGCTGGCTTGACAATAAGATCTCTACAAACTGTATTTTCCTCAGGTGTGTCTGACTGGAGATGAGTTTGGGGGTTTTTTTGCTTTACATTGGATGGCATGAGAACAAGGATGCCTGGAAGATGTCCTTGTTTCAGGCATTGGTGCAAATGTCATCTTTGAGGAGTCGTCTTACTTTCTAATGCCATTTCTTGTCATGAAGCAACGTTTCTTTTTAATAATCTGTATTTAAACATGCATGTACAAATAAGGAAAAGCAGCCCTCTCATGAATTATCTAATATTCTACCCTTAGTCATGTTTTGTGTTGAATGGTTTGTAGCAAGAGTATCACAAGCCTGACAATCTGGGCAGATTCAGAGCTTTCAACACATTCACAGTGGGCTAAGATTTGACAAGTTTCTTTAATTCAAAGCTTTGTTTGTAAACAGAGGTGGAAGCAAAGAAAACTACTTGGTATGAATTCTTCTCCCTCTTTACCTGCTTGTTAATCTTGTTGGAATGATAAAATCTAAAGCCTTTAGCTATTTAAATATAGGTCATTTTGAGGAGTGAAGTGACCAAAGTAATTCAGGAACTGCTTCAGAGGGAGGAACATGCAAGAGGAAGCACAGTGGATAGAGGAAGAAACAGAAGCAGAAGATGAGGATGAGAAAGCAAGTGCTTGCCCTCCTGAGGGCCGCGCTTCTCATTACTGAGTGATATTGATCTTATCGTGGTACTAAGCAAATAACAACAATGGAATTAACTGTACAAGCAAATAGTGTTAGGTCAGCTACTCCATGGTAACTTTCTTGCTGTGTGTGCTTTTACTTTGCAGCGCATTGCAGTAACTTAAAGGCAGCTTAAGGTGATTTTCTCTGTTAATGAAAAGGAGGATACCTTAGCTGTACCATAGGATGCTGAGAGGTCAGGTACACAACAGGGACATTTACTGTGGAGCAACTAGTATTTGATAACTTGCATGTGAAAACTCAAGGATTTCACAAGTGTTGTCATTATTGCAAAACAGGCTGTAGTCAGAAACAAGCTCAGCTTTTGCCTGCAGGATGTCCAGCATCTCTAGCATAAGTGAAATTGTTGGCTGACGGAGCAGTGTTGGACTGTGGTGTTTTGGTATTGCTTGCCTTGTATTCATTGCATCCATTCCTGAGCACATTTAACTGCAAAGATTTTTTTTTTCCCCAATATCTTTCTCAGCAAGTGTTTGCGTCTCCTAGCAAACACCCAATGGACAGTAAAGGAGAGGAGTCAAAGATCAGCTACCCCAACATATTCTTCATGATTGACAGTTTTGAAGAGGTGAGTTCCTTGTTGTAGCAGTAGAGTTCTGTCCTGTTCTAGTCTTATGTCCTGATCAGCTGTTTTCTTGTACCTTTTGAACAAATGTTCTTGGCTAATTGAGGGTTATCTTCTAGTAGTTTTTATTTTATTTTATTTGACCTTCCTCTTTCTTTAATACTTGGAATCTGAGCTTAAAGCTGGATTTTGGTATCTGTCTTTATGATGGGCTAAAGCAAGACAGGCTCATGTGAGAGCTGCTTACCTCAACACATGATTTGCAGTGTGCACTGAAAGTCTGGGGTTTTTTTGAAGGGCTGGGGTGGAGCATACAGCTCCCTTGCTTTCTGCCATTTACGTTGAAACTGCCTTGGGCCTAAGGAGAATCATGGGAATCTGAATATATTTGAACTTTAACAGCTGCAGTTTGCCTTGAAGTGTTTCATTTTGTGTCTTTGGCAGGTTTTCAGTGACATGACTGTGGGAGAAGGAGAAATGGTCTGTGTGGAGCTGGTAGCCAGTGACAAAAGCAACACCTTCCAAGGGGTGATTTTTCAGGGGTCCATCCGCTATGAAGCACTCAAGAAGGTCTATGACAACAGGGTAAGGTGCTTCTGAAAGACAACATCCTTTGCAACAATGATACTCTGACCACAGTTTTTCTTTGCTGCTGAGGCTGTTAGCTTTTTGTCCTGTTAGATCATCTGCATCGTAGTCTGTCTTTTTTGGTTTTGAAAGTTACCTGAAAGCTAATGCTTTTGGCTCAGACAGCTTAGAATATTCAGATCAGGATATATTACTCTGGTGTTTGCCAAAAGGAGTGAAGTTGATAAGTAGTCAAGAGCATGACACAGGAATGGATCTGAATAACAGCGTTCTGGGAGCCCCTTCATTTTCCTGAAAGGTCATAGATATTTCTAGTTACTTCAGAGAAGGCATGTTTTGCAGGGAGATCTTGAACTCTGATAACTACCTTGCTATATGTAAAACATGTTTTTCTTTAGTGTGTTTTGTACTCACGGCTATTTTCAAAAGACCACTGTAGTTTCACTGCCACAGAAAGCAGCTTTCTTTGCTTTCCTACAGAAACATGAAAAGCCAGCACTTTCAGCTTCAAATTCAGTACTTAGTGCTGAAGTCAAGAGAGTGCAAGAGCCAATAAACTTCTCAAACAGTTTGTTATGAAGACAGTACTGAGAGATTTTAAAAAACAAACAAAAAAAATCCCCACATTATCTGCTGTGACTGTAAACTTCATTTCCCTTTGTTCCTACTTTTCAGGAGAGGGTGCTGAAGTCAAGAGAGTGCAAGAGCCAATAAACTTCTCAAACAGTTTGTTATGAAGACAGTACTGAGAGATTTTAAAAAACAAACAAAAAAAATCCCCACATTATCTGCTGTGACTGTAAACTTCATTTCCCTTTGTTCCTACTTTTGTCAGGAGAGGTCGTGAATAATTTCCCTTCTCCCTGTTTTAAATGTGAGTAGTTATACTCTTCTAGCAGTTTTTCAAGAGAACGTGAAACTGAGATTGTTTTTCTGACCCACCATCACCTTATGGCCTCACACAAGCAGCAGGTGGGTTATTAAAATACATGGGAATGGAGAATCACTAAAGACAACATAAGAAGAAAGCCTTGCAGTGGAAAGACAAGATTTGATGTGGTAAAGTGACCTCATAGCCTAGGAGGTCATAGGAACGTCCTGTTCGACCACACAGCTACTTTACATTGATCTGTTAGATGAAATAAAATTGTTAGCTCTTCAAATACTCAATGATGGCTGAAGGCAAAACTTGAAATTTGACCATCCTTTTAACAGAACAGAAGCAATCTCGCTATACTTCTGAAGGTTACTTGATTTCAGTTGTGTCTGTATTAATTCTTAGCACAATACGAGTTGTGTTACATGATGAGCATCTTGGCCCTTTCAGGTGATCACTGCTGAAAGTTGTGATAAACCACTTAAACTTATGGATAAGTCCTACTTATTTCACTTGGCAAAACCTTGACTGTTTTCATATTGGTCTGTTCCTTTTTTCAGTTCTCAGTTCAGTTTTCAGTTCAGTTGTGTTAACTGGAAATTGAGCCCTTCTGTCTGTTGAGAGGGTTCAAAAGCTGTCAGGGTTTTGCGGTGAGCAATGTGATGCAGGTTAGTTGTGCATGGGGGCTGGTTCTTTTATGCTTTGGCCTTGACAGCGTGGACACACAAATATCCAAATTGACTTGCCACAAAGTAGTGCCAGAATTGTGCAGTGCGCTTTGCTAGTTTGAAGCATCTCGTGCGTGTGTGTCTATTGCTTTTTGGACTCAAACAAGTGTCCCTGCACAGGCTGTGTTGAGTTGTGCACGTGCCTGCTTGTGCTGTGGTGTGCCACATTGTGTGGGTCTGGATAAAAAAACTTTTGTTTTATCTCAGCGTGCCGTTGGGTAACTCTGCCTTTTGGATAGCTGAAGGAGTTGATTCTTCTCTGAGCCTCTGTTTTTGTATCTGAAAAATTGCTTCCCTTTTGGAGATCACTTCAGATTGTGGCTTAAAATGCTTCTTAAGAATCAAGATAATGATCATTTATGTTTCTGACTTATTCTTAGATAACTGCTTTCAGAGAACATTATTTTTTTGAAACATGGAGGTGATATAACATGGTTTTCTCTCCTGTCTTGATGCATTGTAGGTGAGTGTTGCAGCTAAGATGGCTCAAAGAATGTCTTTTGGCTTTTATAAGTATAACAACATGGAGTTTGTCCGAATGAAAGGGCCACAAGGGAAAGGACATGCGGAAATGGCAGTGAGTAGAGTTTCTACTGGTGACACTTCACCGTATGGGACAGAAGAAGATTCAAATCCAGACTCCCCAGTGCATGAGAGAGTAAGTAGCAGACAGAAATACTGACTTATGGTTAAGCACGAACATGTTTTGTTCCAAAGCCAGCAGACGGACTGAAGCTGGGATTAACTCACATCAAGGTTCTGAATTTAGGTTTGCTTGTGTATATTTTGAACATAGTCAGTATATGCAGATGGATTTTTAGCACAGTTTGCCTTGAGCAAATACTGAATACAGAGATGACTGGATGATTCATACTTCTGGAGGAGTGTTTTGTTGAAACAACAGCAGTGTTGATGCCAGGGATAATGATGATTCTGCCTGTTTTCTATGAAAATCAATAGATTCCATTTCTGTACAAGATGGGATTTACCTAGAAACGTGGAATTCGTATATTATGTAGGTTGCTTGCTAAACCTCGCGGGAAATGGTATTGTTGGGAGATTTTGCCACTGATGAATGCTGCCAACGTGAAGCCTATATAATATTAGAGCAAAGATTACGGATCTAGATGCAGTACCATATTTATGCATATGGTTAATTTTAATGCAAGTGCAGTAAAATACCAATAGATTCAGTCCATAGATGCTGATTTGGCCCTTACTCAGTCCTGAGCCTTGTTTTCCATTAAGGCATTTTACCTAGTTAATGGGCATTAGGCAGCATGTCTTCAAAATACCTGCACAGATGAGTCCTGACCTGGGCTGGGAAGTTCCAGATGGCTTCTAGTCTGGTTTCCTGTGTAACATAGCTGACCTCTGTAGTTCAGAGGTCTGCATGACTGCATCTAAAGGTCTCCACACGAGCTGTGTGACTGTTGTTTCTGGCTTCCTAAAAGGCAAAATGAGCTGCCAGCACAGAGCTTGTTAATTGGATGTGCATGCTTTCTACAATGGAGATAACAGCCTGGAGAAATCAGGCCTAGAGGGACTTCCTGATCTTTTGGCTCCGAGACTTCCAGTGCCAACTGGAAAATGTCAAAATACATGTGATAATATATTATCATTGCTTTTTGCTAATGGTTTTAATGGTGATTTGTCTGTTTCTGGATTTCCCATCAGGTGTGATATGAAATGGCTTCAGAATTAAAAATAGAGACGAGCACAAATTAGAGATCAAGTGCATTAAAGAGAGCATCAGTTGGGTGGTAGAATGCTTCTGTTCTGTTTTGTTTTGTTTTTTAAACATTAATGATAGAAACACTCACTGTTGTCCCTCTGCAGTGCAACACCAACCTGGCTTGTCTGTCATCCTCACTCACATGTCACCTCCCTCCTTATTTGTATGGACAGATGTGAGCAATATCAGATTTTATCTCAGGAACAGTTATGGGATTATTAAATTAACTTTGTGAAGAAGGAAGGATGAGATAGAAGTTGCTCACCTCCATTAGCAAAGTAGTTATCCCTATTTTTTTTTCATTTGAAATGAAACTATTAAAATATTACTAGCAAAAACAGTACATAAGCACTGCATTTCAATTCTTTCTGAAATAGATATGGTCGACTGTAATTGTGGTTTATGCAAGAGCAACTACTGCTCTGAAGGACGGGTGTCTCTATAGTTTCATCCCTAACCTGTGTTTCACTATAGGCAATTATATCCTTGTATTTGTTGTCACTTAGACTAACCAAATCATCAGGGGCTTCTCAACTTGTTTTTCCCTAGCCCTTATTGAAATATGATATAAATATAATTGTACATTGACTTCTTTTGCGTCAGCATCTTGGGTTAAGTAATTGCCTTGTAACCCTGCTTCACAGAGACACCGTGACCTTTCACAGTAATCCCGTGTGGCATCCTTCAAAGCGGGGAGACTACTACCTTCTGTTTGCCAAAGAAATGAAGATGCACAATTTTAGTATGTCCAGAACAATTCAGATGCACAATTTTAGTATGTCCAGAACAATACGTTCTTAGCCTATTAAGTCTTCTGACTTTCAACATGCAAAAATAAGATTGAGATTCTTGGTGCCTTAAATTATTAATCTGTATTTTGTTCCTTTATGACTGTAAATCCTTGTTAAAAGTGATCAGCTGAGGAGAGACGTTTTTCATTATTCACGTAACAGTTGAGGGTGGTGATATATCAAAAAATTTTCATCTTGAAGCTGAGATAACTGTTCAGTAGATGTTCTCTGGCCACTCTGGTAAAACTTAGAGCTAGACACCAGTCAGGGTTCTGATTTTTACACGTGACTGCCTCGTGGCACATATTTGAGACTGATGATTTCTTACTAGAAGCATAGAACTTTTTAAACAAAACTTTCTCTAGCTTTTTTTATTTCCCTTTCAGGTCACTTCTTTCAGCACACCGCCAACCCCAGAACGCAACAATCGCCCATCCTTTTTCTCCCCATCCCTCAAGAGAAAAGTGCCCCGAAATCGAATTGCTGAGATGAAAAAATCCCACTCAGCAAATGACAGCGAGGAGTTTTTCAGAGATGATGGTGGTGGAGGTGAGAGAAGTAATATCAGCTAAACAGACTTGTCTGGAGAGAGCACAGAGCTGTGGAAAGGGATCCCAATGCTGGATTTTCCAAAAGGTTTGCAGTGTGAAAAACCTAACTCCACAGAAAGTCCAACGCCAATGCCGCTCTGAAAATGGAGTTATTGACAGGCTTAGCATCTTTTTGAAGGCTGGAGACCAACAATTCCTACATATGTTTAAAACTTATCTCCCCCTTTTATGTAGACCCATTTGAGAGAAACTTGAGCAGGAAAGATGCTCCCCCTTTCACAGATGCCGCACTCTCAGGTGGCACTCTTCCAGATATCACAGTGTAGTGAGGTAGAGCATGCTCTTTTGGACAAGTTCTCTGAATTCCTTGATTAGATCCAGAGTTGGTTAAAGTTGGTGAAAAGGCATTTACTTCAACTGGCTTTGGATCAGTTTTGAACTCTCTAAAAAGAAAACCTAATGAATTTGTTTATATAATGGTTTAATGCCTTGTGGAACTCTTCCTTTGAATTCTAGTTACTCAGTATGAAACAACCAACAAGATAAAAAATTGAGTCTGATTCAGAATATAGTGTATAAATCCAATCATATCGCAGTTTAGGTAGGCGGGAAACTCACAAATGTCGAAGTCCGAACTGCTTTTCATATGTTTAAAAACAATTCAGTAGAAAAGCCAAAAAATCTCACTATCTGTTGGCATGCTAATAGATAAACACAAAGGTAATTTCCGGATCGTAAGTTCTGTTTGTAGTAGTGAAGGTATTACCCATCAGCGGTACTGGATCAGCTTAGCTAATGACGAATTGCACATTATAAAGCAAGCTTAAGCAATAATGTTTCATTCAAATTCTGTGCAACTTAAACTGGTTGTAACTAATTCAGGGTTCCATCAATAGAAACCTTTCCTTACCTCTTTCTTCCTTAATTTGCCTAGTCACAACATCTGTTATTTCAAATGAGATGTGTTCTAGCATGTTTTACTAGGCAAAGGGTAGGGCTTGGGTCAATTACTACGTAGTGTGGGGAGAAGGGCAGCTTTCCCAGATGGAGTCCTGCTTTCGATATCTTTCTCCTGGAGGTTGCACAGGACAGAATGGACTTCAAAGCATTTATCCAGCAGCCTTCGTAGGTGGTGGTAGTGTCTGCTCGGTATTGTTTTGCAGGGTCTGATCGTAGCATACATAATCATAATGATGAACATTTTTCTTATTTTCATTTTCTTTTCCTTCTTCTGTATATATGGAAGTGAACAAATTCCAGGTTTTCCAGACATTTTATAGCACGCATATAAAATACCAAGAAGTGTGGTTTCACTTAGTTATAAATGTTTTGACCTTATTGTTCCCGGTCCTAAAAATAAATAGAGGAAAATTTTAACAGCTTATGCTAGGAAGTTTAATTTATTCAAAGATGAGATTTCTACAAGGAGAAGTAACTAAAATGAGATTTATTTACAAATTTCAGAAACCTGAGTATCCTTACCAGTGTTTGCTCAGGAGCTGCAGTGGTGAAATTCTCTTGTTTCTGAGGGAAAAAGCTGACTTTGAAAAGCCCATTACTGGGTGAACTGTAGAAGCAGAGATGTTTGGGTGCATCTTGGCTTTGTGGGTGGAGGAAAACTTGGTTGTCTAAAGATCAGCAGTGTCCTTGGTCTGGCCAGTGCTGCTGCAGACCTGCCCCTAGTGCAGACAGACCTGTTGTGGACAGGAACAGCCCGTGAGGGCCCACTTCACTTGCTTTTGCTGTGTGCAAGCATGACACAGCAGGAGAATTGTACTTACTCCAGCTACCAGAGCCAGGTCCTTCTGACCTGATCACCACAGTGCTCTTGGCATAGCGGTAATGCGTGGGGAGAGGGAATAGACTGCTTGGCTATACACATTTAGATGGAAGAAGGGAAAACAAGTTGGTTTGTGGTTGTTTTTTTTTTTTTTCCTCACGTTGTTATGCATCTTGCTAGAGTAGCTGCTGCTACTTTTAATTTGCTAAGGCCTCTTTGTTTGGATCGGGACCCACTTTTAATTAAACAAATAAGTCTCAGAGCTTGGATCGCTCTGGTCCGGTCCAGAATCGTTACGTTCACTTCAACATTTGCTTTTAGCACTGTGGGACAGGGCTGAGTTTTACAGGGAAATAGAGGGAAAGTTTAGAAACACTCAAAAAGTGGGGAATATGCATTCCTGGCTGTGGGAGAGACCTGCAGCTATAAAAACCTCCTCTAGCCTACAGTGGATTCAGCATCCTTTTGTTCTAAATTATTTGTGGACCTCTAATTATGGGAAGAATGACACTGCTGAAGGGTCCCAGTTGGGCTTGGGGAATGTGTGGAGATCTGCAGTGAACTGGCTTATTAATGCTGATTCTCCCTCTGTCTTGCAGATGTCAATTTTCTTCGTAAGACACAATTTTCCTTCTGTTACACTTGTTCGTTTCTGCATGAGTACCTGCTTAATTGTAGGAATGTTCTATTATTTTCTGTATGAGGGAAGGCTGGGTTAGGATTCTCCGTGTGCAGTGTGGTAGCAAAGGCTTCATTCCCACTCCTGGCTGGTCTCGTAGCAGATGATGGTTTACTACTACTGCCAGCTGCTGAATATAATTCATTAGCTTCAATGTAAATAGTGAATTATGTGCTAGGCAAGATCTGACTGATTTTAAAAATAGTAAGGATAGCGTCCTGCATGTGACTTATCTCTTGACAATGAATAGTAGGCTTTCCTTTTTTTGACTTTGAGAAGTCTTCCAATAAAACGCAGAAGGTACAATCACTTTAAGCTTGCTGTCTTCTACCTTTACAGATCTGCACAATGCGACAAATCTGAGGTCGCGGTCCTTATCTGGAACAGGACGGTCTCTGGTGGGCTCGTGGCTGAAGCTGAACAGAACAGATGAAAACTTTCTACTCTATGCACACTTAACTTACATCACTTTGCCATTGCATCGAATTTTAACAGGTGAATTTTAATGTGTATTACGCATGAACAGAGTCCTTTGGTTCCCAAAGAGCCTTCTGCATTGTGGGATTTTGTTATTAAGATAAAGGAACAAGTATTTCTCTGTAAGGGAACATCACTTCGTAGACCTTTGTTGCTGACTGTAGCAGCAAATCTGTGTGAATAAGTGGAATAGTGTCAACCTGTTCTCTGGCTTTGGGCCGGTGGGCAGAAAGTTTGATCCAGCTGCACAGCAGTGTCTTAGGCAAAACTATTGCTCAACTCCAAAATCTAGACCAGAATAAAGTTACGATCTCAGAGCAATGTAAAGTCCTGCCTCTAACCTTGGAAGATCCTTGTAACTGTTACTTCCTCTAAGAATTTAATCTTTTTTCTTCTCTTCCCATCCAGCAGATGGGATGACTTCTGAATAGGTTTGTCTGGATTGTGGGCTTTTGATCAGTGCCTGCTTTTTCTTGTCTGGGGTCTAAAAAGAGAACACACCTGAAAACAAAACCAATCTATTACACTGGTTATTTCCAGGCTTTTCCTGAAAGGTAGCCAAGAAGAAAGGAGTTGGGAAATCTGTTGTTAAACAGGTTAATCTGCTGCTAAAAGAGATGAGAAGATAGTATGGGTATTAATGTCATCAGTTGTACAATGCTAGTATAATAGTAATAGCTGCAGTCTTCTCATTTGCAGGCTGAGATCTCGGAGCCTGTTGCAAAAGTACACTGGCTCTTACTCTACAGAGAAGGAAATTGTAGGTGATAAGGTAGAGGTGGAAATTATACTTAGCAAAGAGGTGTTTTGACATTTGCCCTTTCACTGTACATAGGGATTGATTACAATTTAGAAGAAATTACGGATTCCAGTAAAAATTGATCCTGTGTAATTAAGGGTGGATTTTGAACAATGTTTCGGCAAAATATGTAATTATTCCTTATGCTAATTGTGTTGATAGTCTTACAGCGAGTTAGCTGGAGTTATCAAGCTCGCTCACTCTCTCACCACAGGCATTTTGGAGTTCACAGAAGATGTATTGTTCCTGCTGGCATTTAATACCCGCTCAAGTGGGTGGCATAAATGCCTCCATGCTCAAATATTTGCTTTGAGCTTGAACATCCTTTCTGAGACTTAATTTGTTTAACATACGGTTGCAGGAGTCGGTGTGTATATTGAGATGCACAGAAATAGGACATGAAATGTCTGGGCTGTAAGGCAGAATTTTAATCTGCAGTTTTTCACTACGCGCATTTGCTTTAGCTTGGCACATCAGGTGGAGCCCCTTTCCAGTGCCTTTTTGTAATTAATACATTTGCGCCAGCAGCAGCTTTCCAGCAAGCGGGAGCATGACACGTGGGGCAGGGTAAAGGGGGAAAGATGCTCATCTCTCTTGGGTAGTTTAGGAAGCCTGTACTGAGAAATTAAAATCCTGGTGATAGTCATCAAAGTACACTTTTAAATGTCTGGAGCTTATACATACTGATAAGACTTCCTTCGCACTGGGCCTTCTCTCCATGCTACATAATCCCAGTTCTCTCAGCCTCTCCTCGTATGTCAGATGCTCCAATCCCTTAATCATCTTTGTGGCCCTTCACTGGATTCGCTCCACTGTTTCATTCTTTACAAGTGTGGCTAGAGCTCTCTAGAGCTGTGGATCAATTTTTACTCACGTCATCCTCTTTGTGCAGCTGTATGTGATCAGCCTCTTAATTAAGCATGTGCTCCTTTTTCCCATGTTTGTTCTTCTCTGTGTAGCCTTGAAAAGGACCTAGCAGCCCAGTTTCCGGATATTTCTGTGTACTGCCATGCCAGCCTGCTGGTTTTACTGTCCACATTTGGAAAGATGCCTATGTTTATGACAGATATTTTACAGGTTCATATTCTGTCACAGTTGGACAATATGGAGCTGAGGAGCCAACAAAAGGAGTGTTTTTTGTGGCAGCTTTTTGGGGCAGAAATGTAGGCTTTGACGTATAGGATGGATGAAACAGTTGAATTATTTGTACCCACATCTTCAGAGCCAAAAGTCCCTTTAAGGGTCTTGGGGATGGTGTGTTTCTCCCTTCAAGAATGGGAAAACCCTTGGCATCTTCTGTCATGGCACTTCCACTTATTTCTCTGGAAGATTACTCCACTCAGTGTCTGACACATGTTGCTTCATTCCACTATAAATGATACTTAGTAGATTAGCTGTCATCTCTATGTGATGGGATATATTTGTGGCTCACCATCTCTCAACTAGGGTGCAGCTGGGGAGGAATTAAATTGCACTTCAATAGGCAAAGTCGCATACTCGTGTGTTAAATTCCTCCAGCGGCGTAACAGGGGGACTGCGCTGCAGTCCACAAGTGCATCTCCAGTTCTTAATGCTTTCTGGTACTGCGGCTACTTTCAGGAGACTCCTAAGTTTGCTGTATCTCTGTTTTCTCTCCCTTGCCCAGATATCCTGGAAGTGCGGCAGAAACCAATTCTGATGACATAGCAGAGAGCGGGCACTGCCTTGGAGCCTTGTTGCCAAGTGTGCCTAACCACAGCGGTTTTCTGTGCTAACACTACCATCTAGTGTCAGGAACATAAACCTCCGCAGGAAAAAGGGAAGTCCAAGAATACCAGCCGATCAAAAGTGCCTCTTTCTTCCTTCCTCTGCTGTCAAACACCATATGCACACTTGCAGTACATCGCTTGAGTGTTTCTGACTGGAAGAGGACTTTCAGCAAGATAAAATGAGAAGGGGCTGTCTTTAAAACGAGTCAACGCTTTATGGACAGTTTGTTACTGTGTTTACTTTATAACTAAGAAACCAACAATATGTACAAAATGTGTTAAACTTTATATTCTTTGAGAGAAACAACCTGAGAATTTCATAATGATGTACTAATGAACGTCGTTTCATAGACTCTCGCCCATACGCTCTCCTTGTCGGTTTGGCTTAATGTGTGTGTGAGCGCGTGTGCGTGCATGTGGGGATTGAAGGGATGGGAAAATAATTTCCTACTGAGGGAGGAAAAGGAAGAAAATGCTACAAAGATACATCGCCATTTTGGTACGTGCAGCGGGTCAGGGCAGAGCTTAAAAGAGGCTGAAAATGTTCCCATTTGTTCGTGTGTCAGTGTTAGGACAGGTGAACTCTGCTGACAGATTTCCATATCTACCAAAGAACAGCAACATTTTCATCCTCAAGAACTGGCTAAGAAAATGAGCCAGCGAAAAGAAAGCTAAAAATGTGCTGCTATAGTAAAGCCGAGGTTCATATCCAGTACTAATGCTGCTTATCTCTCTGTTAGCTGAGTCGATACAAGTTTGAGTCTAAAGTGGAAAAACAGGAGGCCGTAATCGGGCTCCAAAACCTAAAAACCTTACCACTAGCCAACATCCTCCTGCATGCACTGGACTTCAGAGTACGTAGAGTCGTCCTTGCAGTAGCGTTTGTAGCCAAGGAGGGCGTGAGAGATGACTACTGGTCAGGCAGCTTGCCCAGATTCTTCGTCTCCTGGTGGCGTTTTGCTGTACTGTTACATGCCAAAGCACGGAGAGTTTTCTTGAAAGACAAAAGATTGAAATGTAATTCTGCTCTGAAAAGTGACTAAAAATTGCATAGGGGGAGGTTTGAAAATTGTGTGTCAGGAGCTCTCAGGAAAAAAGCCTTATGTTTACAGGTAAAATGCAGCTTTCTCTAAATAGCAAAACTCTGCTGTCCTTGACATTTGAAAGCTAAATGACTGAATACTGAGACTACTGCAGTCTGGTTCACTGTCTTGATATGGGAGCCAGTCGATACTTCAGTTTATTTATGACTGCATAACTGGCACAGCAATGGGGGGGTAGCGTGTCACTTAGAGCATGTGAGACTCCAGTACACGCATAGAGGGAGAGCGAAGATGCCATTTTTGTCACTTTTCAGACTCTGAGCGCCTAAACTTAATGCTGTTGCCACAGTTTCCAAATGGCATGTGCTCTGAGCCTGGACCTTTGTCTCCCTCATACCCAGCCTTTCCCAAAGTGCTTTGTTGTTATTCTCTCAATAGCATCTGGTGACTTAACCTCTCAAATAGGACTTTCTGCTTTTTTTTCCTCAGTTCAGGTTCCATGGGAATAGCTCCACTTCAGCATAAAGGTAGACTAACTTTATCATTCAACCCAACGTGGTGAATCCAGCATGGTAAGGAGGTCTTTTTTTATTTGAGGCTAGGCCTGGAAGAAGTGATGGCATTAGTGCAGAGTGCTGCCGCTGTTAGAAATGCCATCATGAGTGCATGACAGGGACGGCTCACCAGTTTTTAGTTTACTTCAAATGTGTTGCAACAGTGTCAGAAAAACATTCACTTTGTCATTACCAGCACAGCCACTTTTCATGTTGCAGCCTTTGACCTTTGCTCCGTGGGAGCGTGTGGTTGTGCGTTGTGTGTATGTGAGGGTGTTCGCAGTGTCTAAGCTGAGGCATGTAACTTGGGTGCCTAGGCTTTCTTCCTGAGCTGGGGGAGAGGTGGAGTCCTAAATCAGCAGCTGAAGTGCCCTCTCAAGGAACTTGCTAGGCAGCCGAGGTGCTTACCTGAGATCCCTAGGTAGTTGTGCCTAATGTCAGTCGGTACAAGTATTCTCCCTATGCCCATGCTGAGAATTAAAACGCTCTTCAGCTAGAAGACCAGTCTTACTCTGAAGCCTCTCAAGATGCTCCTTATTCTGCACGTTCATACTGCTGGGCTGGGCAAATCAGTGCTCGGTTTTCCTTTAAATAGTCATTGGGGAGGGAAGGGAGAGAGGGTTAATATTTGCACTACTAGTGACAATTGATACTTTTCAGTCAAACAGCCAGAGGAATAACACGTGAAAGGGAAATGTATCCAGATTGGAACCCGAGTGGTAGGTGCCTGAATACTTCTCAGTCAACAGCAATTTGTAATGCTTTCTTGGTATCACGTATTACGTTTAGGTAGCTTAATTTCATGTGATCTGAAAGACTGAACAAATCTTGCTGCGTAAGATTTCAGAGCAAACGAAGAATGATTCTAAATTAGTACATTAGTATAAAGGCAGTGTTACAGAAAGTACAGTTCAGATTCCACAGCTATTATGCAGGAGGTATCATCTGCTTTGTTACATGTATGTGGCTGGATTTCAATGTCTAGTTTTTGAAGGGCTGCAATATAAACACCCTGAAAAAAAAAGTCAGTTTATTTCTTGTGTCTTGCTAGTGGATATGTTATAGGTACATTGAAGACTCACCTTTTTTAGTAGAAAAGGACTACAGGTATGCCCAGATGGACGTCCATAGAAAACAGAGGTCAAAAAGTCTACTGAATGTCAATAGTGCTTTTCAGAAACAAGTAGATGTGGCAGATTCCCAGTTATTCCTTCTCTAAACAACTGACTTAGACTTCTTATGTATGGCCCCTGGTTCCCATTTTCTGTTATCAAGTGGGGGAAAACAAATTCTGCATTTTGTTCTGCTTTTAAACAAACCCTGAAAATCGTAATTTGTTGTCCTTGTATAGACAGATTGACAGGGAAAGATGATCAAAGTTTTGCTTGGGTCAAGATGGCACAGCTGGGCCCTTAGCATGCTATTGCTCTATACCAAAAAAGAAAGGGAATGTTAATAGGAACCTCTCACCCTTTTAATTTGGAGGGGTTTTTAATTCTGTAGCTCCTAAGCAGTAAACCATTTTGAGCTTCTGTTGGCCATTGAAATAATTGCTGAGGAATGAACTGGCGTGTTCTGCATGCCATAAAGGCTGTATGGCTGTCGATGTCTTAACTGTTGGAGCACAGTGGTTTTCATCAGTTGTTATGTTGATGCTTGAGAATGCAGCACGGTTAACAAATTTGGGAAGCTTTGCAGAAGAGCTTTATTTATTTACAGAATCCCACCATACCTCATTACTCAGTTAACTTCTTCCATCCTTCTGCCCGTTCACTCCCTCTGGAGATCGAGGCTTACGCTTGAACTCTCCATAGATGATGTATATTGATAGATGTCAAATGCAAGGTTGTAAACCTTTTTGCCCTTAACAGGTTTTTCACTGCTATCAGTTTAACAAGTAAAAAGCCTTTGCTTTTTAAGAAAGCTCTTAAATAAATTATTTTGTATTAGCAGATTATTGCTCTGCCTTAGAGACCACCGTGTATGTGAAATCGCGTTCTCTCATTGCCAGCCAGTACAAGACGGGTTCCAAGTCTCCTTGTAAAAGAAGCAGCCATTTTTAGAAACGCCACAAATCTTTCGGCTGTCTTGGCTAATCCAGTTTGTGTGGGTTCATGTTCCTTCTCTTTTTGTTCTCCTGGTCTTCATCATTTACAAGGCTTGAGCATGTTGGGCTCTGGATTGCTGTTACTCAGTTTTTCATTTCTGGGCACGGTGTGCTTTCCTGAAAAGAGAATTGTTTGCATGGGTGACTTTTCACAGTAAAATGGTTTTCCCAAAGTATATTCTTACACCAAATTTTAATTTAAACAGTGAAGTCCTTGGCTCTGCAGACAGGTTTCTTCTGGCAGACCCTCGTGTACAGAATCCCATCTGGTCACTGAGGTTCTGTATGGATGTGAAGTCCACATAAATAGTCTCCACTTTTAGACTATTGACCTGCTTCTTGCCAATCATTAATTTTTCCCTTTCCAGATGATTGCTTGTCCTGTATTTTGTAGTCTAAAGCTTCCCCTTATTAAAGATAGCTATAAGATAAAATCTTAAGAAGTGCCTAAGCCCTGTTGTTATCCAGTGGGGTTTAAGAACAAATTTTTATTTAGGAAATGAGTAAAGCAGTCTTAAATTCTATCTATGGTGTGTGTAGCAGCGTCAAGAAATGACAAGTTTATAGTTCTCGGAAGAACTGGCTGTCTCCTACAGACTCGCCCTTCGTGTTTGAAAGACTCTAATGGTCTCCTAAGGTCGTGGCTGAAAGCTCTGGAAAATGGATTTCTTGTCATCACAGCAGTCAGATATCTGCGAATGCCTTATCTTGTTTTGTGAGGTATGACTGGAAGTGTGTGGTGCTGGTGTGTAGAAATTCTGTGTCAAAAATAGGTGCGGTAGAATCCAATTAAAGGCATTGTGAAATAAGTAGCTTTTACACCGAACCTTAAATGAAAGAGTATTTTACACCAGAATGTAGCTGTTTGGATGCTTGGTCAAGATAATACAAGGCTGCAAGCAGGTTACAATGTTGAACGTTCTCTGTGTAAATATATAAATATTCTCAGCCTAATTTTATCAGACTAACACATGTTGCATGGTTTGGGCTTTTTTTGCCTCATGGATCATCAGTGTTGATTAAAAGATGATGGGTTGAAAATCATGCTGGCGCTGTACTGAGCCCTTTGAACAAAGAGCAAGGAGAACCTTTGTGCACCAGAAATGGAGATGACTTTGCGTATGGCAGCAGTGCAGAAAGTGTTGGACCCTGCGGCCAATAAACAGACCTCTTAAACTACCGTGAATTTTCTTAATAGTGTTTTCTTTCTACTGTGCCTAGTAGTGTTTGAGTTTGAATGTATTTCTTACTGGTGGCAAGCATGAACAGCGGGATAATGCTCTGTGGCACTAAGCATTGCCAAATAGACACTCGTGAGGCAAAGTAGCCTCTTTACTCTTTGTTCTTACTCCACTTTGAGCGAAGCCCAACTTCTGACTCTGCTTGCTGAATCTTTCAATGATCAGCCTCTGAAAACTTGACGTTGTATAAGGGGAAGAAGGCAAAAGTCAATGTACTCCTGAATTTGTTTAAAAAGGCTTTTTGTTTTTTCCTTTAGACGCTAGCATTAAAAAAACCAAACCCCAAAACAGCTCTTCTAAACTGATCTGCGTTTTGTTTTAAACTTAATTATGTCGTCATTAACATTTAGGTTTGTGCAGTGTATAATATTGAGAGACTGATGGCTGTAATGATTTCTTCCTGATAAATTCAGGAAGAACTTCACTATGGGTTTGTGCAGTGTTGTAAAAATGAGACTGCCCTTTAGCTCTTAACTGCTTATATTGCCTTAAATTGTGCATACCAACATTGAATTGGTTTTGGTTTAAAGACCTGCAAGGCACTGCGTCCTCCCTCTCCACCTGATTTTTGTGACTAACATTTCACAGTAGGCTTCTTCGGGGGATTTTTCTATCTAAATTAGTTAAAATGAAACACTCATCAAACAAATGTTACCAACTATAGATAGGAGTTGACTTGCTGATGATTTAATTTCAACGAATCCCAGAGCGGGACTGTTTTACGAACCCACGTGTGGTGTAACGACATATCTGCTAAGCCATGCATGATAGCTTGGAGATGTGTGGTATGGTAGGCAAAATTTAAAGACAGAGCTTAGGAAGGAGAACAGGGTGTTTTAGTTCTTTATATGGATATTTGAGCAGATTGTTGGCAGTGTTGTTTTGTGCCTGCAAATGCGACTGGACAGGAATCTTAACTGGTTGGGAAAGACTAAAATATGGCTTAGAAACAGTGTGATTTTCCTTGAATGCTTTAAATTGAAAGCTTTTGAAAGCAGCCATAGTGGAGAAAGCATTATTTAAAACAGCACAAAAGGCAAAGAGCAGCAGAAGCTTACAAATCATGGTCATAAACCTCACCTGGTTAGTTAGTTTTTCAACATGAGTTAGTGACAGGAAAAGGTGTGCTTGTTTTGGTGGTGTTTTTTAATCCAAATGCTGGTGGGACAGAAGACTGCCACGTACATCTTAAAAGCTTTCTTGAAAGCTTTTGAAAGCAGCCATAGTGGAGAAAGCATTATTTAAAACAGCACAAAAGGCAAAGAGCAGCAGAAGCTTACAAATCATGGTCATAAACCTCACCTGGTTAGTTAGTTTTTCAACATGAGTTAGTGACAGGAAAAGGTGTGCTTGTTTTGGTGGTGTTTTTTAATCCAAATGCTGGTGGGACAGAAGACTGCCACGTACATCTTTGAAAAGCTTTCACAACTTTAATTAATTTCATGGATATGCTAAAAGAAAAATACTGTTCTAACAGCGTGGCAGTATAGCTTGTTCAATAGAGTCCCTGCTTTGGGGAGCCAAGTTAAGTCATGTCCTTTTGTCCTGCAGTGTTTTGTGTCTTGCCTGTCCTCATCTGGAGAGACGCTCCCAAGAAATACCGTAATACTGCTTTGCACGCAAGTCTATCGTCAAGGTCTGATTTTACAAAGCAAAATCACACTTTGGAGCTTGAAGAAAAAATACGCGTCTTTGCTAGCAAATAGTTACTTGTGTACTCCTGTCAGAAATGTGGTTCCTGAAACTTGTAATTAAAAGTTTGCGGAGAGCAAAGGAGTAAAATGCAGGAAGACTGTGGGTCCAATTTTCCATTAGCAGTGTCGGTGAGAATCTGGGAGCAGCAGATGCTACTCACTAAAGAGAGAATCTGGGAGCAGCAGATGCTACTCAGTAAACATATTAAAATACATCAAGGAAAATATGAGTTAATTCAAGTTCTGTCCCCAGCTTGGTTCCTCACAGGGGTAAGGATGGGATCTAGTGATCTCGTAACGGGAAATAAGTAATTTATGATTGGTTAAGCCAGAAAACTCTTCCCCAAGTCAAACTAGTTGGCTTTTCCTAGTGGGATTAATGTGGATTGAGATGGTGGTGTGAAAACCAAGGTAGATGATCCGTTTTCTTGTTCAGACAAGACAGAAGTGTTTGTGCGCGCAAATTGGATTTACTTATGTGTGAGGAGCGTGGACTTCTTCCCTCTACTGCACTTCCAGCGCAGAAGATAAAATGGGCCAACCACATAGCTGTCGTTGTACCTGCATGCAATGTATACCCTATGGCACCTACACAAAAAGAATGATCTTTTGGCAAAACATCCTTGTTGGAGCATAGGGTGGATGAGGGGTGGGAGAGGGCAAGGAGGCATCCTATTAAACAAAGCTGACTGGGGCAGCTGCTGCCTGTGGAGGTGTGAGCGCGCGGCTGAAGATGCTGAACTTCAGGCAATAACGTAAATTTGTGAATAATAAGTATGCAAGTAGTTAACTCGCACGGTTCTGAATTCACTTCAAAGAAATTGGTTAAATGAAGATGGGAATAAAGTTTTAAAACCCTATCGAAATGAATGGAGCTGGCTGATAATTTTCAAAAAGACCAAGTCACCCTGCACAGATCAGTGGAGACCACCTGCATTTAAAAAAAGCTTTGTCTCGAAGCGTTAGTTCCAGCTGCTTTAATGTTTTCCCTGTCATCTGTTCATGCCAACATTCGGTTGATTCCGGTGATTCATGACTGTATTTCACAATATGTGGTTACTCAACCCATGCTCTTCCGCCTCCCGTCTCCCCCGACATAAAAGGGTGTTGTTTATGTTTATGGTTCTGCTTTTCCTGCTGGAGCAATATTGCCGAGGAAATCCAGCAAAAGCAGCTTACTAGTCTACAGACTGTTCAAAGCCTCATACTCAACCTTTAATTCAGATGCAACCACTGTGTTCATCAAAACCCTATGTCACTTAGAAATGGAGAATGCCTTAAGCCTGCACCGAGTCTAGAGGCATTCCTTTGTTCCTGAAGGACAAGAAGGTTGGCAGAACCCACTCGTCCATCCCTGCTCATCGCTGCAAGTGTCAGACTAGGTTTTGCTTTGAAAATGAGAGTGATAGATGTAGCATCAAGGAGCAAGAAGAGTTACTATTCAAGTTTCCTTCTCGGCAAGAATTCTGAATTGCGTGTTTCCCAGTAAGTACCTCCATGGTTAACCTGCCCAGCACATAAGGAGAAGATCAGCATAGCCGATTGTTCGCAGTAGTCATTTCTGACTTCATTGTAAAGGTAAGGAAACACTTATTTCATAAACTGCCAAAGTAATTAAATTTGGTATATGATCTACCGCTTTCTCTTCAGTGTTAGGAATTTGCTTTTTACAATGGAGAAACCATCTGCAAGTTTTCCCTGGAGTTGCGGTCAACAGAGTTGCCATTTGCAGGTAAGAAGAATGCCCCGAGTGCCTACCAGTTCAGGTAGGGCTCCAAAACTAGCATTGACCATAATTTAGACAAAAAAATTTGTACTGTATTATGTCATCTATGATACAAGGTAGTAAACCAAAGTCAGAGACTTTATACTCGGTGATACTGCCTGAGCAGGCAAATTCTATTTATATCTTTGAAGCCTCTGCAGACTTCCAGAGATGATCCATATCTGCGCTACCTCTCAGTAAAGGTTACGATGTTCCTAATAGTAATACCCACTAAACTGATGATTGTGAGTATTTGTTTTTAATATAATACTTATTCAGGATGCTCAGATGTAAATAAGAATTTCTAAACGAGTATGATGCCTTAAAAATGAGCGGTATACTACCCTAACAGAAACTTGGGTAAGTGTATTGATGGCTACTTCAAACAATGTACATTGTTCTTCTACTTGTGTAGCCTTTGGTTCTTGTGTGCCGCTCCTCCTGTAGTTCATGCGGGTCAGTCAGTTACGGGTGCTCACGCAGTCGCATACTGTAACTTGCGCAGAAGTGCAGAGCTTTGTACTCCAGTCATCATCTACTGAATATCCAAAGAAGTTTGTTGCTCTTCTCCGCCTGAACTTTAGTTGTCTGTCTGTCTTACGACCTTTCCATGACACAAGTATTTTACCAAAGCAAGCTGTTTACCAAACTTTGAGTCTGAACTCATTCACAGCTTCAAATGCTGTGTCATGTGTAAGGCTACGTTACTCAAAATTACTTGGCTGGCTGTTGCTCTTCGTCTGGCTTTCAGTTTTGTCTTTAGCAGGAGATTGATTACAGCAGGTAACCTGTCTGTCGATGCATCGTTTGGATCATGGTTGACGTTTGTCATCTTCACTATTTTTCTAGCCGATGACGTGTACATAGCCTTTAGCTTATACCTGATGTGCTTTTCAGATGAATCAGTTCTGACTTCTGTATGACTTGGTTGCTGTAACTAGTCTGCCGTGAGGGGCATTTTCCTGCTGGATTAGGAAGGAGACCGATTTTGATTAACGCAGACTGTTCTTGGAGCGTTGCATTTTCTTCGTTTGGATGTTCAGGACTTGCTGTCTTCTGCACTGTTACTTTTGCCCCTTCCCGTTGTGCAAGTGGTAAAATCTTTGGGGATTAACAAAGCATTAAGCATTAGATGTTCTCGATTGCCCCAGCCTGAAATGAGTAAGAAAGAAGCTCGTTTCTGCTCTTGAGAACTGTTACTCTGCTTTCTTTTCTTTATGGCTGCCGGAAGCTAGGGAGACTGTGTAAGCGGTGCTGGCTGTCTTTTTAAGTAGAAGGAAGTAAGAGATGTCCAAAATGTGGAATAATGCCAACATCCTAAGCGCATACCATTGTGGTTTTTTGTGTTTGGTTTTTTTTTTTTTAAAGTACTAGGAAATTTAGGTAGAAATGTGGCTCTCTACTGATAGCAACTGCATCCTTAAAAATGGAACATAGGCTTTTGGTTTTCTCAGTCATTGTAATTGGGGGGGTGTGGTGATGGGGAGATGTTGAGATGATTTTTGGTAACCATTAATTGTATCCTCGTGCAATAAGTAGCTCCCATTTGTGCGCATGAAGTGGCTAGCTCCAGAACTATAAACAGAATTAAGGTAGGGCTAAATAGCATGGTAGTGGCCGATAGCAGAAAGTACAGTTGGATGACAGGCGCTCTCATGGTCTCAGCAGTTCATGGTGCATTGGAAAGATGATTTACGCTTGTCGTGACAAGTCTCTTGATTTTATATTCTCGCC